CATGGTGAAACCCCGTCTCTATTAAAAATACAAAAATTAGCTGGCATGGTAGTATGCGCCTGTAATCCGAGCTACTCAGGAGGCTAAGGCAGGAGAACTGCTTGAACCCGGGAGGCAGAGGTTGCAGTGAGCCGAGATTGTACCACTGCATTCTGGCCTGGGCGACACAGCAAGACTCCATCTCAAAAAATATATATCATCATCATCATCATCATCATTTTTTAAAAAGCTGAATAAAATCCCTCCATCTCTGAAAACCCCTGCAAAGGGTGTGGAAATGGCTCATTTTACCCTCTATGATGGTTATGCTATAGAACAATTGGTTTTAGACTAGAACTTTTCAGTATGAGAAGTCAATTGCTGCAATCAGTATTTGGTGACACATAGTTTCATAAGTACTAAATGTGTTGAGCAAAGACCTATCTTTAACTTTAAAGTGAAAACTTCAAACTGTTCCTAACTACAAAATTTTTCAGAGATAAACCATGGTTTCTCAACTGTGGTGCTACTGACATTTTGATCAGATAATTCTTTGCTGTAGGGAGCTGTCTTATGCATTAGAGGATGTTTAGCAGCATTCCTGACCTCTACCCACTAGATGCCAGTACCACCTCCCACAGTCATGACAACTAAAGAAGTTTCTAATATTGACAAATGTTCTAGGGGGAGGATCATCCTGATAGGGAACCAGAGATAAACAATGGAATGATAATTTTTTTCATAAAGACTGTTTAAATAAGATATGGAAGATAATACAAACTGTCATTCTTAGCACTCATTTGCGAGTCATTTTTAGATCATCAGATGACCTTTTAATATTTTATGTGAAAAGCAGCAGCAGAAGCAGACCACCACCACCAGTGCACCTAAAGGTAATGTGTAACCTAGAAAGAAGAAAATAAACCAATGAACCAATGGATGATGCAAAAAGTCTTAACAGTAAAAAATGAGCTAAGGTAGCCTCAGTACTCTGCTATGTCTATTACTCATGCATGGTAACTGTTAGAATTCTTAGGCTATCTTGAAATCTTTTATTTCAATGCTACAAAGTCAGACTCCATTTTTCTTCCTATTCTTATCTAAAAAACAAAAACAAAAACAAAAAGTTTCCTGTATCACAGACAGCAAGAATATTTACCACTATTTATTGAGCATTTTGTAAATACAAGGGATTTTACTTAATTAAGCAGATCTCCAAAAAACTTAAGGAAATAAGACAAAATAGATTCAGAAACATTAAATAAAACACCAAGAGCCACAAAGGAAACTGAGGGATTCCTGAGGTCTACCAAAGGGTCATCACCATCACATCCCAAAAGGCCTAGGTTTTACTTATAAATCTTTTGGTTTATAAAAAGGCCAGATTTGCAATAATATTAAAAATTGAGATCTCAGCATTTAATAGTATAATCTTAAACGTGTAAAGAACACATAGTACTTTTCAGAAAATGTTATCATTTTTCATTATAAAAGAAACATATGGGGCTGGGCGCAGTGGCTCACGCCTATAATCCTAGCACTTTGGGAGGCTAAGGCGGGCAGATGACCTGAGGTCAGGAGTTCGAGACCAGCTTGGCCAACATGGCAAAACCCCATCTCTACTAAAAATTTAAAAACTAGCTGGTCATGGTGGCGGGCGCCTGTAGTCCCAGCCGCTTGTGAGGCTGAGGCAGGATAATCGCTCGAACCCGGGTGGTGGAGGTTGCAGTGAGCCGAGATCACATCACTGCACTCCAGCCTGGGCGACAGAGTGAGACTGTTTCCAAAAAAAAAAAAAAGAAAAGAAATATATGGGCTGGGCATAGTGGTTCATGCCTATAATCTCAGCATTTTGGGAGGCTGAGGCAGAAGGATAGCTTCAGCTCAGGAATTTCAGATCAGCCTGGGCAACATAGTGAGGTCCTATCTGTATTTATGAGAAAAAAAAAAATTAGCTGGACATGATGACACGGGCCTGTGGTCCCAGCTACTCAGGAGGCTGAAGTAGGAGAATCACTTGAGCCAGGGAGGTCAAGGCTGCAGTGAGCCATAACTGTGCCACCACATTCCAGCCTCGCAATAGAAACATATGATCATTGTAGATAATCTAAGTAGCCCATTTTTTTTTCTTTCTTTTTTTTCAGATGGAATCTCACTCTGTTGCCCAGGCTGGAGTGCAATGGCATGATCTTGGCTCACTGCAACCTCCGTCTCCCATGTTCAAGTGATTCTCCTGCCTCAACCTCTGGAGCAGCTGCAATTACAGGCGTACAACACCACGCCTGGCTAATTTTTTGTATTTTTAGTAGAGACGGGTTTTTGCCATGTTGGCTAGGCTAGTCTTGAACTCCTGACCTCAGGTGATCTGACTGCCTTGGCCTCCCAAAGTGCTGGGATTACAGGTGTGAGCCACCACGCCCAGCCTTAAATAGCCCATTTTTTAAAACACTGGTTGTAATAATGATGTATATAATGAATTATATCATCATATTATCATACTGACATGTATCTCTAATAATGATTCACATCAAAACAAATGCAAAGGTAAAGATTAGCTAGGTGTTCAAGCAATGAACTAATGGATGAACATCCCAGACATTTCAGTCCTAAAGTCACAGATGACCTTCTTTAGAACCTGCCCAGAATTTACTGTAGAAATAAATTCTGGCTTCAGAATAATTCAATATACCTACCTGTGCTACCTACACTGAAAAAAAAGACAAGTACTGTGCATGTATGTTGTGGATGAGTTTGGTATTTCAGAGGAAACTGGTACATACTACAGAAACTGCCTTTCCCAGAGAAAAAATGAAATGCTTATCTCAGAAGCAGAAATTAAAGAAAAAAATCATCTCTAATCTACTCTTTTGGTCTTATCATTTTATAGTTTGGACCTAAGAGATCACCAATCCTTAATAAATAAGGTTTCCCATGAATTCTAGAGCTTCTCTGCCTCCTGTCCGCACCCTCCATGTCCATGCTTAACAACCTAATGCCAGCCAGGTGCAGTAGCTCACACCTATAATCCCAGCACTTTGGGAGGCCAAGGCTGGAGGATCACTTGAGCCCAGGAGTTTAAGACCAGCCTAGGCAACAGAGCGAGATCCTGTCTCTACAAAATAAAAAATAAAAAAATCTAAGTGGGCATGGTGGTGTGGTGGTGCACACTTTTAGTCCCAGCTTCTCGGGAGGCTGAGGTAGCAGGATTCCTTGGGTCAGGGAGGTCAAGGCTTCAGCAAGTTATGATCATGCCACTGCACTCCAGTCTGAGTGACCGAGTGAGACCATGTCTCCAAAAAAAAAAAAAAAAACCAACAACCTAATGCTGGACAGACACAGTGGCTCATGTCTGTAATCCCAGCACTTTGGGAGGCCGAGGCTGGAGGATTGCTTGAACCCAAGAGTTTGGGACCAGCCTGGGCAACAAAGCAACACCCCTATCTCTATTAAAAAAAAAAAAAAAAAGTGCCAGGCATGGTGGCACATGATTGTAGTTCCAGCCACTAGGGAAGCTGAGGAAGGAGGATCACCTGGGCCCAGAAGTTTCAGGCTGCAGTGAGCTAGGATCAAGCCACTACACTTCAGCCTGGGCAACAGAGCGAGACCCTGTCTCTTAAAATTTAAAAAATTTTAAAAAGTGAACCAAACGCTTAAGAAACTAACTTGGTTAGGTTCCTAAGGGGCCTTTTCAAAATCAGATATAAAAGTGCTGATGCCAGGCCCTCCAGCACTGAGAAGTGTAGGCTAAACTACTTTTCTAGGAACATCTTGCCTTACTCCAAAAGAACAGGAATAGAAAACAGTGGTTATTTTAGTGGTCAGGAAGAGCAACCAAGATCTCATATGGAGGTGTGCTTAGGGGGAAAATGTTAAAATAATTGATTAGGAAAAAGAAAGTACCAGAATTGTCTGATATACCAAGGCAGGATGGTAGACAGAAGCAGTGAAATGGCTGATACTACACTAGAGGTTGTATCTGAACAAATAATCAGGGTTAGGTTCTATGACTTCTAATCTTGGCACTGCAATGGACCAGCCACACTGCCGTAAAATGGGGCTTAATATTTAGAAAATAAAGTTTAAGTATTCCAAAATTACTATGTTTTTTCCAAGATAATAAAGGCATAAAAGTCAGAAAATGAAACTCAAATATACCCGCAATGAGTCTTAACTTTTACCTCTTTAAAACAGTTTAGCTCCTGGCCAGGCAGGGTGGCTCATGCCTGTAATCCCAGCACTCTGGGAGGCTGAGGCAGGCTGATCGCCTGAGGTCAGGAGTTCCAAGAGCAGCCTGGCCAACAAGGTGAAACCCCATCTCTACAAAAAATACAAAAATTAGCCGGGTGTGATGGCGGGTGCCTGTAATCCCAGCTACTTGGGAGGCTGAGGCTGGAAAATCCCTTGAACTCAGGAGGCTGAGGTTGCAGTAAGCAGAGATGTGACAAGAGTGAAACTCCACCTCAAAACAAAACAAAACAAAACAAAACAGTTCAGCTCCTTTCTAAAGGAGGGTCTTTTCAAGTCATTCATAAGTACTAGGTTGGGTTCCTTAGAGAAAACCTCCAGGCCCCTTAATATTCACAAAATAAAAGTCCAAGACTCTTGATGTGCTCAGAAAGTTTTTCCTTTTTTTTTTTTTGAGATGGAGTCTCACTTTGTCACCAGGCTGGAGTGCAGTGGTGCAATCTCAGCTCACGACAACCTCTGCCTCCCGGTTCAAGCAATTCTCCTGCCTCAGCCTCCCAAGTAGCTGGGACTATAGGTGTGCACCACCACTCCCAGCTAATTTTTGTATTTTTACTAGAGACAGGATTTCACCATGTTGGCCAGGATGGTCTTGCTCTCTTGACCTTGTGATCCACCCACCTCGGCCTCCCAAAGTGCTGGGATTACAGGCATGAGCCACCATACCTGACCAGAAATTAATAGTGAAATTCTCACATCCAAATGAGATTTTACCTAATTGCTACATACAATATCATAAACTATCAGCAGTAATGAAAATAATAAGAGTTCTTCACCTTTCCTTCCTTCTTTCTCTCTGTAGAAGGCCTCAATTTAACATCATGAATCATTTGGTCCTTGACATAATGGTAACTTCCGGGGAGACAGATGACATTTAGCACAGGACATGTAAGACTGTGGGAAAAGGGAAGTTCTTGGCCACAAGAAATGGGACAAAACCCTTGCCCTTGGGAAAAATGCCAAAAATCTCTTAAGTACACGGTAAAGCAGTTAAATTTTTAGCTTTAAAAGATTCCATTATAAAAATACAAACCAGACTGGGCACAGTGGCTCATGCCTATAATCAAAACACTTTGGGAGGTTGAGGCGGGAGGACTGCTTGAGCTTAGGAGTTCATGACCAGCCTGGGCAACATGGTAAAATCCCCCTCCACAAAAAATATAAAAAATTAGTTGGGTGGGGTAGCATGCCTGTAGTCCCAGGAACCCGGGAGGCTGAGGTGGAAGGATCACCTGAGCCTGGGAGGCTAGGAGGTCGAGGCTGCAGTGAGCTATGATCATGCCACTGCATTCCAGCCTGGGTGACAGAGTAAGACCCTATCCACCTCCCCCCCAAAAAAAAGCAAAAACCACATCATGCAATTAGAATAATTAGAATAGGCTTTTGAAAACTACACTATAAAAATGGAAGATAATAATTTTCTGGAATTCATAAGAACCTGTACTAGGTGATGGTCCCCAAGGTGGATATTAATATTTTTCCCCTCGTAATTGGCTTAAACTAACATGGTTCTAAAATTTTTTGCTATTCAAAAATGATGAGGATGAGCATGGTGGCTCATGCCTGTAATCCCAGCACTTTGGGAGACCAAAGCAGGCGGATCACCTGAGGTCAGGAGTTTGAGGCCAGCCTGACCATCATGGTGAAACCCCGTCTCTACTAAAAATACAAAAATTAGCTGGGTGTGGTGGCAGGCACCTGTAATTCCAGCTACTAGGGAGGCTGAGGCAGGAGAATTGCTTGAACCCAGGAGGCAGAGGTCGCAGTGAGCCAAGATTGTGCCACCACACTCTAGTTTGGGCAACAGAACAAGACTGTCTCAAAAAGAAAAAAACAAAAAACAATGACGAATATCATAATAATGGCTAACTTTACTGACTACTTATTATATAACCATTGGGCTAAGTGCTCTACATGCATCTCCTTACTAATCCTTACAACACTGTAAGGTCTAAATAACATAAACTTTAAGAATTTTCGAAAAAAGAAAAGACATAAAATTAAAATAAAAAAAAACAAAAAAATAATTTTCAGGCTGGGCATGGTGGCTCATGCCTGTACTCTCAGCATTTTGGGAGGCCAAGGTGGGTAGATTGCATGAGCCCTGGAGTTCAAGACCAGCCTGGGCAACATAGTGACACCTTATCTCTATTATTTAAAAAATAAAGTAAAATAAATTGGCGATGGCTCACGCTTGTAATCCCAGCACTTTGGGAGGCAGAGGCGGGTGGATCACAAGGTCAGAATATAGAGACCATCCTGGCCAACATGGTGAAACCCCGTCTCTACTAAAATACAAAAATTAGCCGGGCATGGTGGTGCACGCCTGTAATCCCAGCTGCTCGGGAAACTGAGGTGGGAGAATCGCTTGAACACAGGAGGTAGAGGTTGTGCCACTGTGCTACAGCCTGGTGATAGAGCAAAACTCCATCTCAAAAAAATAAATAAATAATAAAAATATTAATAGAAGCATAAGTACTTTAGAAAACTACTCCATTGTCCTATCAATCACCACTGGGATATCCCTGCAAAACCAAAAGACCCTAAACAGCTATAATTACACAGAATTTTAATCTAGTAAGAGTTCTAGTTAAGAGTCTTGGCAGGGCGAGGTGGCTCACACCTGTAATCCCAGCACTTTGGGCTGCTGAGGCAGGTGGATTGCCTAAGGTCAAGAGTTCAAGACCAGCATGGGCAACATGGTGAAATCCCGTCTCTACTAAAAATACATAAATTAGCCAGGCATGGTGGCAGGCACCTATAATCCCAGCTACTCGGGAGGCTGAGGCACGAGAATCACTTGAACCCGGGAGGCAGAGGTTGCAGTGAGCTGAGATCGCATTACTGCACTCCAGCCTGGGTAACAAAGCAAGACTCCGTCTCAAAACACAATAACATAATGACAATAAAGATTAATACTTATATATAGAAATTGTCCTTCACACTGCCAAACTGCCAGCCCATTAAGAAAGGCTTTTACGGCCAGGCATGGTGGCTCATGCCTATAATCCAAGCACCATGGGAAAGGCAGGCAGATCACTTGAGGTCAGGAGTTGGAGACCAGGCTAGCCAACATGGTGAAACCCCATGTCTACTAAAAAGAAAATACAAAAATTAGTCGGGTGTGATGGTGCATGCCTGTAGTCCCAGCTACTTGGGAGGCTAAGGCAGGAGAATTGCTTGAACCAGGAAGATGAAGGTTGCAGTGAGCCGAGACTGTGCTCCAGTCTGGGTGACAGAGAGAGACTCTGTCTCAAAAAAAAAAAAAAAAAAGAAAGAAAAGAAGAAGAAAGGCTTTTACAAACCTTCTCGTGCAAAAGAACAACAAGATATAAAGAAAACAAAATTTTACTGTAGTTGCGACCACACCTTGAAATGGAGAGTTGACAACTCTGTTTTAAGGAACAAACTCTTTTCCTATAGTAATTTCATCATAATTTCTTGCACAGAGTATACAATATGTTTCTGCTGGCAATATACAGTTGAGTAAATGCTTTCTAAATCTTTTCCTCTGTACTTTCCAAACTATATTTTAAGAAACATTAACAAAACCAAACACATATATCAATACCAAAACCCACAAAATTAGCTATTTTATACCCACTTAGGCATCTAAGTAAACTGGCTAACGGTTTCATGGGAAGTAATGTACTGTAAAAGAGGAAACACTGGCAATGAAGGCAGAAAACCTAGACCTGGGTGGAAATCACGGCTACATAACTTGCTAACTCTCTGACCTTGGGCAATTTCCTTCTCTCAGTCTGAGTTTTCTTATTTGCAAAGTGAGAGTAGTAATTCCAATCTTGGGAGGGAGGATTAATTGCATGTGAAATGCCCACCACAGAGCCTGACTCCAAGCAGGAGTTTAGAAAAGATATTGCTATGATTGTTATTCATACAAGTTCCTTAAAAGCAAGAACATCGTATTTGTCCTTGTAGCCCAACTGTAGGCTTTATAATTATTGAGGAGCTGAAAAAACAAGAAACACCAAAGTTACAAATGAGGATTTGTATCCGGTCAACACACGCCTAGACAGAAAATGAAACTAAGAAGTAATCATGACTTTCAAAAACTGTATCAACGCATACATAGAGTATAAATCAAAGTATATATTGCCATTTGATGGGGAAAAATATCAAAATATGCAATGTGCTTATTTTTAAGCCACTCTGAAAGAAGATGATGCTGCCTGTAAACAAATCAGGAGTACAACTACTCTTCATTCATTCTGCAAGTATTTCCGTAAGTGCCAGTCATTATGTTGGTCATTATGCTAGGCAATGTGCATATGATGGGGAGCAAAAGCGAAAATAGTCCCAACCCTCATAGAGCTTGCTTGCAGTCATGTAATCACACAAATAAGTGTTAACTTGTGATAAGTGATGTGAAGGATGGGTAAATGGTGCTCTGAGAACCTATTAGGTTAGAATCTAATCTAACTGAAATCAAGGAAGGCGTTCCAAGGAGGTGAAACCTGAGAGCTGAAGGATGAAGAGGAGGTTAACAAAGGGAGGTGTTTCCAGATGGAGTAAAGTAGCTACTGCAAAGACCCTGTAAGCAGAAGGAAACATGGCAAGAACGCAGGACTATAAGGGCAGTGTGCATGGAGCAGAGACAAGTATGAGAATTAGCTAGGGTCTAGGCTGCACAAGGGCCTATATCGCCTACATTCAAAAGTTGTACTTTGATATCAAGAGCAATGACAAGGCCTGTAATCCTAAGGCTTTGGGAGGCTGAGGCAGGAGGACGGCTTGAACCCAAGAGGTCGAGGTCATAAATACACCACTGGACTCCAGCCTGGGTGACAAAGTGAGATCCTGTCTCCACAAAAAAAAAAAAAAAAAAAAAGAGCAACCAGAAGCCACTAAAGAATTTTATGAATGCTTCTTTGTGGGGCAGGCAGGCTGAGGGGAAGATGAAATCAGATTTTCAATAGGACTCTGGCTTCTGGCTTCTGGAATACGGATGGATCAGGTGGGAAACAAAAGTCCTGTCAGGATACGATAGTAGCTCGGAATAGGGTGATGGCAGTGATGGTGGAAGAAAGCCAATGAATTCAAGATATATTCAGGAAAATCTAACACTGTATTGTACACAAGGGCAGAGAGATAGCAGTGTCCAAGACACTGGGTTTCTGATTCATATGACTGTACAGAAGGAGAAGGAGATACCACTCAGGAGGTATTCTGCTTCCGAAATGTCTTTAAGGAGCCGGGCGCAGTGGCTCACTCCTGTAATCCCAGCACTTTGGGAGGCTGAGGTGGGTGAATTGCCTGAGGTCAGGAGTTCGAGACCAGCCTGGCCAATGTAGTGAAACCCCATCATTACTAAAAATACAAAAAATTAGCTGGGTGCGGTGGCGGGCACCTGTAATCCCAGCTACTAGGGAGGCTGACGCAGGAGAATTGCTTGAACCCAGGAGGCAGAGGTTGCAGGGAGCCAAGATGGTGCCATTGCATTCCAACCTGGCAACAAGAGCAAAACTCTGTCTCAAAAAAAAAAAAAAGAAAGAAAGAAAGAAAAGAAGTATCTTTAAGGCTGTTCACACAGGCCAAAAAGGGCCTAAGTGCACTACACTTTTGCATGAAAATGTGTAAACCCAGTTTGATCCCCTACTTTAAATAAGGGTCTAAAAGATTTTTTGCTATTTACAAAAATCAAACTGACTCTAAAAAATACAAGGATTTTCCCACACTGAAGAAATTTCAAAGATTCTGCCACAAGCTTCTAAATCAACTTCCAGTGAATGTTAAATTGGTTTGAGCAATAGAGCAGCATTATGGAGTGAATGTGTCATTTCCCATGAGGACCACTTTGATAAGGCTAACACTTACTTACTGTCATTTAATTTAAATATTTTAAATAAATCTTAATAGTTAAGAGTACTCTTGGC